AAATTAGGGTGTCACGGAACAGCGTTCTCAGATACGGTTGAGTTGTACTTTAGTTATGCGGCCGAGCAGAATATTATAGCTTTCTTGGCATGAAAATTCTTTTCAATTTTACCATGTTTTTTAGTAGCACGCAAGAATGGACTGTCAATAGGACAGTCTTGAGAGAAATATAGCAAGAAAATGTTTCGCTAGAAACATAAACTTTTTCTAATAGCACATATGAAATGAAAGAACAGAGAGAGAGAGAGAGAGAGAGAGAGAGAGAGAGAGAGAGAGAAAGGAATCAGTTCATCATTCACCAGTTACAAAAGTCTAGAGTAATGTTTTTATTAACAAATACTCCTTTGTATTCTTTTTTTATCATTGTGGCATGCAATTAAAATATTGCAAGATTAAAAGACAAATAACACATTGTGCTATTGTGTGGAACTGTCAAATACAGATTTAGATGGTAGCGTGACAAATTAAAATTAAAGTACATAATGCGTGCTTTATCACGTGCAAGCCTTTTATCTTCTTTTATAATTTTTATATTGACAATAATAATAATAAATTTGTTATCATTATTATCACCAAATTAAAAGACCTATTTTAATTTTTCAATTTTTATTATAAAGTTTTCTTCGTGTCGTAAATGAAACGGGTGTTGTTCTTTTTAAAAGCTAACAATTTCGAATTGATGAGACTTGAAAATTGACGAGTTGACAAAATTTGTCAAGTTGTAAATTTTTAACAGAAGATGTTTGAATAGTAGATAATAAACTAAGGGGGAATGTTGGTCGGTGTCCCTCGGAAGTTTTATAGCAATTTTAACTACAAAATTCTCTCTCGGAACTTCTTTTCCCGACTCTTGGCGACGTGATGAAGACATTCTTTGCTCGCGTACGTGTTTTTAATGTTTCTTCGTTCGAATGACCGCGCACCTCTATTCCGGAAACTTTTCCGGACGTTCCGTTCGCGCGGCATGTAATGAGGATTTCGGCATGATTCTCCTGCGCAGCGAAGAAATTATGGTTGGTAATCGACGATTTATTGTTAGCTCGTCGCGAGGATTATTCCGGCGTCGTATATTATTAGACTTCATCTTTAGCACCGTTGAACTTCGCCAGACCGATCGAGATAGCGCGAGATACGTTCGCGTATCTTTCGGCTTCCTCTTCCGCGCGTCGCGCGCGTAACTCACGTGCGATACGAGTCACGAAGCGCGAATTCACGCAACACAGAAGAGAAAAGGTGGGGAGAGATAGCGCGTAATAAATCAACGCCGTGATAGCGCGATGGATTCTCCCGTTTCTCATCATTAGGATAACTGATTTCGCGAAGATTACATTCTCGGCTGCACACCGATCGGATAAAAGCTACAACGCACCTCAGTGATATTTCAAAGTTTTCGAAGTATAGCGCGATTAAAACAGAAATAATAATCGATTGTCTTTATCCAGTTCGCGTTCCAACAACAACGTGTTATTTTTCACACTCGTGGCATTTGATTGACGCCTTTCGGAATTGATTAAAGTGCTTTCAGCTCGAATTCGTCACGTGTAGATATATATTCGCGCGTTTTATTATAATTCATACAGCCGCGTTTGATAACTCGACAGCTGTAAGCGCGCGAGAAACACAACTGTCAAACACAGATTTAAGTGAGTGCGTGGCGGATTAAAATTGAAGTACATAATCCCTGCGACGAGTCTCTTTATGCGCAAATCTTTGTATTCTTTTTTATTATTGTAGCACGCAATGAAGTTATTATAAGGTTAAAAGACAAATAACACATTGTGCAATATTGAACTGTTGAATACAGATATAGACGGTAGCGTAATAGATAAAAATTAAAGTACACAATGCGTGCATTGTGTTTATTCATGTATAAACCTTTGTATCCTTTTTCATCATTTTGGTACATAAGCAATAATAATGATAAAGATATTATCATCAAATTATAATATCTATTTCAATTTTAAAAGCTCATTATGATAAGATATTAAATTAAGATTTAATATCTCTCATTAAATTAAGATTTTACTTGTCTTGTGTATTTTTAATTTCATATTTTTTATGTTTAATTTAGTATTTTTAATCTATTTTTAATATTTGTATATTTTGAGAAACTGCTGCATACTGTATTCAAATAAATATTACTTTTTTCCAAATATTTTTTTCAAATATTTCATAAATTTATATATCCGCAAATTTATCACAAGCTCATCACAAACTACAGTTTTCTTCGAAATAAATTTTGAATAAACTAGTGAGTTTAGCATTTCAGTATTAAAGAGTATTAAACAAAAACAAAAATTTGGTTTGCTTATTGCATAAAGTTGTAATAATTCTTTCTTTGACCAAGTTTTATAATATTTTTGTATAGAGAATAAATTCTATTCTTATGAGTACATGATAATGAACTTTTTTCTAATTAATGAGATATATTTTAAAAATATTATCAAGAAAATTTTGTCAAAGATAACCATTACTTAAAAGAAGGAAAGTAAACTAAGCAATAATTTTCCTGAGCAGTGATATGATCCTTTTTGTGTGTACACTGAAAAAAAAATACTTGAACATTTAAAGTTTATTCCAAGAAATAAATTTTATATTCCACAAATAAATTTTCAAATTTTTTTTCAATGTATATTGAGAGAACAAATTCTAAGAAATTTATTTGCAGGACATAAAGCCCATTTCTGTGAAACAAAACTTGTTTTCATGAATAAACTTTGTATTCTTCAAATAAATTTTTAAGTATATTTTTCTCAGTGTATATATAATGAATCAGCTTAAACCATCCGATGTTGCTCGGATTATCACAGTGTCAAGGGGATGAAATCAAGGAAGGTGGGGTACCCGAGATTTCATGGTAGCCTATATTTTCCGCAAGGTCCTACAGAATAACAAAATTCCTATACAAAATCCTATACAAAATTTGGTCCAAGCGCTTAGAAGTTAACAGAAAACATACAGACATATATTCAATTTTACATATATCGATTAAAAGACCTAACACACACACTGCATGATATTGAGTCAAGCGACAAAAATGTGACATGTCCCTTTTGCAATCAGCCATTATAATGTGTGAATGTCTAGTTGAACGCGACTGTTCCGTAGATCCCCCGAGTGGAATTGGAAGGCACCGATGACCTCCAGTCGACGAATCGAGAGGGCACGCCACGCGCGAGCCCTTCCTTGCTCCGTCCCTGGCCGTTGTCCCTCGATCACGATCTCGATCCATGCGGCCAGTCTTGCCGCGCCAGCGCGATCGAGAGGATCGATGTTGCGCGAGTTCGCGCGTCGCAGCTCCGATTCGAGAGAAGCCGTGGGAGTACGGTGTCGTGGGTGCAGTGATTTTCAATAGAATTAAACCGGGGATCAATAGTGAATCCGACGGTGACGCGTATCTCCATTTATGCAATTACTCGACGCGCGTGTCGCGCGTGGATCCGCTGCAGAGTTCGGAGGTTCGCCGATTAAATAAATCCACTATCGCAGTGATTCGCACATTCGTCCATCTGTCCGTCCACTCGCTCGCTCACTCGCTCGTTTCCCAAATGCATCAAATCCCTACGGCAAACTAACGTGAGCGCGCGAGATATCCATTTTTCGCTCGCCGACGACCGCTGCGCCAAGAATTCGTCGGGCGCCCGAATTTCTCCTTCCCCGTAACTTTTCCTAGCGCACGCTGAATTATTTGACTGTATTTTCGGAGCGGAGGCCACGATCTTTCGTCCGCGCCGTTAATTCGAGATTAAATGAATGAGCGCCGATTAAGAGCTTCCTTCTTCTCACGAGATCAGCTGGACATTACTCGGACGACGACGACGGCTTATTACGCTCGATTTAGATTCCAATTGACCGCGTGATTCGTATGTATCTGTGCGACACTCCGTTAGATATGTCGTTGATCGGATTCTCTCTCGAATATCATTGCGAAACGAATCAGTGAGTCGCGACAGTCCGCGAATGTTGAGAGAAGTGAAATCCGCAATTCGCGCAAGTTGAAGGCTCTGTCTAACAATCTTCAGGAAAATTTTTTCGGCAAATATTTTCCCGAAAGCGTGCATCAGCTATGTGCGATTTGATATCTGAAGATATCCCGGAATAGGACTCTTGAAAATAAAAGGGTGTACAAAGGAAAATACGATTCTACTGTTAAGAAAAGCGATCACTCAGTTGGCTTCTCTTCCTTTCTAAAGAAAAGTTAATTCAACCTTATGTACTAAGCAAACCAAGAATATTTGGTTAATTAATTTAAGTTAATATCCTTGATTATGAAATGCTAAGCTTACTATTCAAAATATATTTTGAATAAATTTGATAGGGCTTGTGATAAACTTATGATAGATTTGCAGATACGTAAACTTATGAAATATTTGAAACAAGTAACGTTCATTCGAGAGCAGTATATATCTTTCTGCACTGAGGGAAATGTCTGATGATACTAACCAGAATTCTATTTAGGTTTACCAAATGATATGGTGAATAATCGTGTAACAAGATATTCAGTCAATGATACTAAACTATCTAGTGAGCGCATTGTCTAAGTAGCATTATAGTAATGCTTAAATACGTTTACTAAATCGTCTGGTAAATGCAATTCATTTGGTGAATGTTATGAATACAGTTGTGGAGTAGTGTTAGACTTCTTACCTAACCTAAAATCTTATCTAACCTTCTTATCTAACCATATTATATATATATTTTTCATATATTTACTGTATATAATCTTCATATATTTACTTCTAAATTTATCGACATATTTTAAGAAATTTCATTCTTCTAAATATTTGACGGTTTCAGCGTTTACTCTTTTATAGCACCGACGTCTTTACAAATTAGTATAGACGAAAAAGGAAACGTCGCAGCGAGTAACAATTAATTATCGCATCAATAGTATCACACGTCTAAAGAGAATTACCAAACTGTCTAAATGTCTACGACTAAATGTCTCGGTATTGACTACCAGATGCGTCGAGGCATAATCAGAATATTGGATATATGAACCAGATATCGCATATAAATTCACCGTATTACTTTCATAAGACGAGTATAGTGTCATTCACCAAACCATTTCTCTCAGTGTGTGTGGTGATGCGGTTTTTTTTTTAGCAAAGTTAAACGAACTTGTCAAAAAGTCCCGAGAGCTCTCAACATTTTTATGGCGCCTTTAATCTTTCAATTTCTTCGACTCACCCGCGTACAATAGCGCAGAAAACGAGGAAGAGAATGAGGAAGAGAGAGAGAGAGAGAGAGAGAGAAATAGAGAGAGAAAGAGAGAGAGACAGACAGACAGAGAAGATGGAACGTTGAATGGCGCACGGCGCTTTTTACTCCGTGCCAGCCGCGTTAATATGTTAATTCAATTTATCTCGCGGCATGCAACGCGCCCCATTCGTCTCTGTCCATCGCTCGCTGTTTACATCCGTGTTCATTTTCCTCGCGCCGTGCCTCCTCGTTCTTCCGCCGCGTTATTTTTCCCGCTCGCGGAATTACACCCTCGCGCATACACATATACTGTACGGCTGTCACGCTCTTCCGACGTCGCGACTTCGCTCGGCCTCCGAACGATAATTATTATCCTTTAGATCCTTGGGGCCGTCCGAAGGTTGACGGCTGGCGTTTAAAATTCCCTCTCACGGAAACGACCACGGCACGGTGGTGTGCACGGAAGATAAATAAACTCGGTTCGTGTAACTGAATTTCTGACCCCTGGGGCATCAGACGACAGTTCAGCCGCGGAAACGGGAGCATTCCTGCAGGAGGTTTCCGTTAATTGTCAGCCAATTGTTCTCGGACGGTATAACAACTGAATTTTAATACAGCCAGATGTTCAGACGAACAGAACGGAAGAAGGGAGGCTACTTCTACTATTTTGGCCTGGTTCCTCCGAGTTGAAATTTCGATTCTATTTCGACTATTTAATAACTTCATTTAACTTCTATTTGGATACTCTGAAGCCTTATACATCAATCTCCTATGATTCTATTCAACCCTATAACTTTTCAGGGAAGTCCTCTTTTAAAAACCACAAATGGCATTTTTGCATCTTCTGCCATTCACAGGCGCTAAGTAGGACTTTAGTCTCCATGTGTATTATTCAGAATATACAGATGTTAGGAAGTTCAGATAAAAATGTTAAAATTTCGCGGCCCAGGGAACAGGAATTCAGATACACAAAGTGAGTTTTTCTTTCTCGTGTGGCACACGGACAATTCGTATCGTGAAATTCGTATTTTCCACGGAAAACAGACCGTCGTGAAAAGTAACAATATTAGCATGACGCTTCGTTGAGATACAAGATTTTACTTCCGGAAAAGAGAGAGAGAGGATAGGCCGAAGAAGGGGTAATTCCTCGCGTTATCCTCGTGAGTCATAATTCATGACAAATCCGCGGATATTAAAGCAAGGAAGTTTGAGATCGCGCGCCTTCCTGCAGTTTCTTAAGGATCTCTCCTTGAGCCATCGTAATCCCCGGGTTATTAACGTAAGCTGAGATTCGAAATTACTCTGTCGCCTTCGAAGTTCAGCTAAACGACACGCGTCACCTCTCGCTGCGTCTGGGAATCAGTTACGAAGTCAGCTGCGAGATCGTAAAAGTGAGAGTGCAAAAAACACCTGATTGAAACAGTATTTTTCGCAACACTAACAATAGTTTTGAAGATTTATATAAAAGGGGAAGGCACTCGATAAGAAATTATGTAATAGCGATATAAGATCGGTTCCACGTGGTGATTGACTACTCTACACAAAAAGGAAATATATCATACTTTCTTTCATGTAAATTTTTTTTTAATTTTACCATGTTTTCTGGTAAGGCAAAAATAGGTTGTCGATAAAATTTATCTTGTTAATGAGCAATAATAGATTTTGCAATATAGTACAATAAAAAATATCTAAGAACTAAAAAAATATTTGTTATGCTATTAAGAATATATTTACTTATATATCAATATTTATTCATATTAATATATATAAAATATTATACTAATATAATAATATATAAACTATTTACAAAATAGTAATACAAAATATTTGTGAAATACGAAATATGGATTTAAGTGAATATGTTACTAATACTCACCATATAAATATTATTTATTGTTTATATATTTTATCTCTCAATGTAGATTTCAGTTTCTAAAATATAAAGAGCAGATATAACAAACGGTAAAGGGTAATGCAATAAGACAGAAGGTCAATATATTTTTTGGTCACAAAACTTTATATTGATTTTTGCAATAAAACTCTCTCCGTATAATTAGCGCTGCGCGTATGCGCAAAGCTCGGGAATATGTTCTTCCACCTTACAGCCAAATGATTTTATCCTCCCGCTGTTTCATTCAGATTATCACACCTGATGTCAGCCTCGTATTTCCTGCTATATTTAATAGTACAAAAAGTAGAAAAAAGAGGAGAAGAAGACGGTAAAAGCCGATGCGAGTCGTGAAGAAATCAATCTCGCGCGAAACTCCGCGTCTTTTTGCGGATTCACGTCCGACTCCACGCACAATACAACCGACATCGCGATTCGCAGTGACGGCAGTGTGTGTCTTCCTTAAAATCGCGGCGAAAAACGATATTGCGCTCCATCGTGGTAACAGTGCGATTAATTCTGCGCGTGTGAGTGTGTGTGTGTATGTGATAGCAGTGATAGCGCGAGATTCTCTTTCAAGTGCTGGCACAAGAGAGAGGTTCCTCGCGATTACCTTCGGGATCCGTGACGTCGCCGGCGTTTCCCCTCATACGGATCGTACCACGGACGGGAAGGATGCGATTAGCGCGAAGAGGATTCGCCGTTGCGGCGTTGTGAAATTCGCGCCGACCTGGCCGCGCCGCAATTCGCGTAATGCGCTTCTTGCGCGGCATCGGGAGCGAGCGGGATTAAAGGAAGGGAGGCGCGCGTTTTCGCGAGAAATCAGCCGACGACTACTCGTCGAACGAACGGCCGATCGATCGATCGACCGGTGTCACGAGGGAAACGCAATTGGTGTACCGCGAAGTGAAGCCGTAAATTGCGGTGTTCGAGGAGCGCACGATAACGGCACTCGGCTCTCCGGGAGAGAGAGATGTAGCAGCTTCGCAAAAAACCACAGCGGAAACGTACAATAACGTTCGCTCGCTCGCTCGCCCTAATTGGAGACGACGCCGCTCGCGAGCGAGCCCCGAGGAAGTCGCAGGTAGGTGAGCTGTGCAAAAACGCGATTGCGGTGTACGTTAATCGCGCAGGTTAAATAGCGGTGCGTGTTTCGGACGCGCGCGCCGACGATGACGGATCTCTCGATTCGTAATAACAAGGTGAAGGAACGGCGAATCGGATCAGCGGCTCCATTTATCGCCCTCAGCATCGACCAGCGTCGGCTGGATCAACAACGCGACCCGCGACTGAGAAATGGTTTCCGATATTTAGACTGTATCTGGTGCATGGGATTTTTCCCACGGACTCTTCCGTAGAGTCGAGAGAGATTTCTCAAGTGTCACGCGTACCCGCATCGAAATTTTCCCCGATTTTTCCAGATACTGCATAGACGCAGATCGGAGTGCCCGAATTTGTTCCAAAATAGGTTGTCCTACTCTACGACACCAATTGGGAATCCCATTTTTATTCTAAACGTGGGTCCTCTGTTTAAAATAGAAATAGAAATGCTGCGGAAATACGGGTTTTTCTCTGGATAAAATTCATATATCTTTATAGGAATCAATTAAAAAAGCTCATCTTTACATCGATTACTGAATCTCAAAGATAAAAAATGAGAAGAGAAAGATTTAAAATAGTTTGTGTATTTACGCTTTTTAAATATTTGTGACTATAAAACTTGAATGTGTTTTATATATTTTGTTCCATTCTAATATCAAATAGGATGAAATTTCCGGACGAATTTCTTCATACACGATATTATATATATATATATATATATATATATATATATATATATATATATAAAATATCGGCGAAGAAAATGGATGATTGCTCGCGGGCCTATCTTATAGGCCAGAGAGGTGGGCCGTTTGGCATACTGAAATGTGTAGCTCCGT